TGTAACTATGCAATTATACAGATGACCCCAAATGTTTGATAGTAATGTACTTACTATTTGGTAAATGAAGAGACATTTACCAATATGAAAGCACTCTGACAATGAGAAAATAGTTAGCAATTCATGTCTCTCTCTAACTTTGACTATGGTCAAATATAAAGTATGCACAATGAGGGACACTGAAATCTTAGAAAAACAAAACAAAACACAAATTCTCAAAATAATCACAGGGAAGAAAAATGTGCTATAAAGGTAGTTGCTTATGCTTTCAAATTGTGTTGATTTTATAGTAATATTTGCCTGTATCCATGCACTCATTGTTAAATTCATATTTAAAATGACAATTACATATGATATCTGTAATGGATAGCTTTAGTTATCAACTTGACACATCTAGGTAGAGGGACTCTCAGTTGAAGAATTTCCTCCATTGGATTGGCCTCTGGCCAAGTCTGTAGGGCATTTTCTATGTTGTTGAGTTATGTGGGAGGGCCAGGATGCTGTGGGCAGTACTACTCCTGGGTAGGTGATTCTATGTTGTATAAGAAAGCAGGCTAAGCACAGGCCAGAGAAGCAGGCTAGTAAGCAGCGTTCCTCCATAGTTTGTGCTCCAGGTTGCTGACCTGAGCTCCAGATTTGGCTTCCCTCAGTGATGAACTGTGACCTGGGAAATGTGAGATAAACACTTTTCCTCCCCAAGTTAGCTTTGGTCAGTGTTTTTTATCACAGAAATTGAAAGCAAACTAGAAGAATATCCCTATTATTCTAACTGTATAAAACTAATTAAAATATACACAAAATTGGCAATAACAATGTTTTTATGTTTGTATGATGAAGTGTGAATGTTTGTATGAATGTTTATACATGCGGCTGCATTTTCACATAGACCCTGCCTGTAGGGGTCTGATGTAGACACTGATCATTTTCTTCAAATGCTCTCCACTTTTGTTTTTATTGAGGCATGGTCTCTAATCGAGCCTGGAGCTTGTCATTTCTGTATTGTTTAGTCAGATCCTCTGTCTCTGGCTCTGAGTAGTGGAATTATAGACAGCCACCACCACACCTACTCAGCTTTTCCATGGTTCCTGGGGAGCCAAACTCTGGTCTTCATGCTTATGAGTGCTCTAGTCGCTGAGCTGTATCTCCAGATCCCAACAGTTACTTTTGAAAAGTAAATCTCAAGTTAACTATATATGTTTCATAACTCTGTGTAACAAATATTAGAAGCAGATGATATGAGGACAGAAGTAAGAGAAAATCAGAGATCTAGCCATAATTTTGAATTGTACATATTATAATGAAGCTGTTCATGAAAACAATTTGAAGAGACCCCACTGCCTTCCTTGCAGCAGTTTTTACCCACCATGAAGCACGACGGCTGCTGATTCCAACTTCATCAAGCAAATCACCAAAAACCCAACATGATAACTCAATAATGGCAAGTATTCCTACAAATACAAGCAGCTATAATGTTTTGAATGTTTGTTTGGTATACTCAAAATCATCCCTGTTGCTGTTGAGGACAATGTCCTACACAGGTTACAAGTGGCACAGTGATCCCTGGCACTACCCAAGTTCTGGAATGTCATGAAGTCACTGAGCTCCATACTCTCATTGAGCTACACATCTCACCAGTTAGAGACTATACCTAAAAAAATGTTATCCCATTAACTCCAGTGCTTTGTGGCTCAGTGGTTAAGAACACTGGTTGTTCTTGTAGAAGCCCTGGGTTTGAGTCCCAGCACCCACATGGCAGCTAACAACTGTCCACAACTCCAGTCCCAAGGGATCCGACAGCCTCTTCTGACCTCCATGGGCATTGTAAAACACAGGATCACCTACCTACATGCAGGCAAAACACACATACACATAAAATAAAAATAATAAGATTTTTTTTAAAGTAAGTACTCAAACCATAATCAGTACAGTACTTCCTCCCAAACTCACAAATGTAAAAACTTTTCCCTCCAAACCATGAAAATATAGAACAGAAATAACCAGTGTCTTTGGTTTACATATTATTTATGTTAAAATTCATTTTAACAAATGGATTGAGTGGTATTTATCTTAAGCTTAATGCCTGCACTGTTCCTCTCTTAGAATTCACCACCCCTGCTATTTTAACATGATAAAATGCTCCCTATTTCTCATTTCACAGGAAAAATTATGCTGATAAGTATCATGGCAGTCTTCCTCAGCAATGTGTTTAGGGACTGACAGAAAAGTAAAAGTAAAAATCCATTCATTATCAGATCAATAAGGGAATCCCATTCCTTTGTTCATCAGTCAAACTGAACCACATAGGCAGTTGCCTACTTCACTGGCATGTTCATGAGCATTTTAAAAATATATGTCCCTTAATATTTCTAAATACAATATTTCTCCACAGAGATGAGTGTAAACCTCCACACCTCAGTGAAAAGTAATAGTATACGAATCTATGGTTTGGTCTTCTAAACTTGGGGAAATTTCTCCTTACACATAGTGTATAAGGCTTATACACATAGTGTATAAGTGTAGAATTCTATGCAGACTATAGGTTCAGTGTATCTGCTTCCTGTCCCCAGCAAAAGACAGGTCCAAAATATCAATATAATGAAAATTTCGTGAGACCTAATCTAGAACACAGACCTTTAGACATCTATACTTAACTTCAAGGAAGATGTAAAATTAATCAAATTTGAAAGTTTGAAATAGTCTTGTCATTAAAAAGAATACATGATACCATACTACATTTTATCTTTTAATGTCTGCACTTTCCATGAGACTAGATTCTCAATCAACTGATCTCAGATAAATACATATTTACTGTCAATAAGTTCAGAATATGTCATCCTAGATGTTCTGAACTGTACATGTACATTTAGATTTTAGGACACTGCATTTGGGAACATGTGAAAAACAGTTCCCTCTGTTAACAATCCATAAGTCAAATACAGAAGAGACTTGAAAACTTCTAAATATGTGTTTTGTATTCATCAGTCCACAAAATTGATACCAAGTGTAATAATGCTATTTATATCAGCCAATGGAAACGAGCACTTTATATTTAGTGTATGGAGCATTCTTCATTTAAAATTTTCATAAAGTTGGACTAAGTGACTTTCGCTCCACCATGAAGTGGAGTGAGGAAGGTCATGAGGAAGAATAATAATTGCCAATTTTCACAGTATATAAATTATCCAGGTATCAAATGCTGTTGTCAAGATTGCAATTGGTATAGTTAATTATACTCAGCATGCACCAGATACAGCTTCAACTAGTGTTTCCTCTCACTTTCCTTCTGCTGTCACATTCTCCATTGCTGTTAGGTTATCTTCTGATGGGCAGTACATCTAAAATAGCTTATCCTTCCTTTTCACCACTCCTTGTTGACAGACAGCCAATCGATATTGGCCATTAGTAGCATTTTCTGTGTGTTTTCTTAAGTTAGCTATCTGTGTGAAAAAGCACGGCAACTATGATATATAAAGTAATTATTAACCAAGGTACACCAAAGAAGTGTCTTGTGGCATGAACAAATTGGGTCACCTGCACTAGTTTAATTCATTATCAGTAAATATAGAACCAAATGCACAGGAAGCTTGAAAGAAACCGTAATAAAGATGAGTGCTTAGACCAGAACGCTACAGAGCAGATTCTCTTCTAGTATCACATCTGCCTTTTTGCTCCCACACCTTACACGGTACATGCAAAATCTAGTCTGGATTTCAAACTCTTGATTCAGGATTAAATAATTCTCTGACCAGACTACTACAAAGAAACAGAAGAAAGAATTTATTGCAAAAGGAAAGTCCCCTGCTTTGAAGACCTGTGAGTGATACCAGAGTGGAAAATCAAGGTTGGAAAAGACAGGCAGAACCTGTAGTTAGCTTTTTGGCTGCATACAAAGTCTTTCTCTGATGGGTCTCTAGGCTCAAAGCACTGATGCCATCACCTGAGCAAACCCAAGACGATAATAATTTTTGTTAAGATTTTTATTTTATTTTTCTCTATTTCCAACAGTGAGAAAAGAGACAACACTTATTCTTGACCAAACATAAAGAATAAATCCATTTAAATATAACAGACATCAAATGTGAAGATTTTTTAGTAACCTTAACTAATAAAATTCTATTTTCACCTGTTACATATGCGAGGTTTGCTCAGCTGTTTATCTGCATGCACAACATAGACATAATTTCACCTTGCTTTTCAGATGTGAAAACTAAGAATTGAAGTATTTCAGTACTCAAGCAAATCACGTTTAGGAAGTTAAGGCAAGGACTGGGAGTTAACATCACATACTAAACAGAGTATGCTGCTGATCACAGGAACCAGTTTTTCATCTTATCATGCATCATTTATACCACCTTTAAAAACCGTGAAAGTTTCATCTTAGGGCTTAATAAGCATTTATGAAAAGCTTTTGTGGAAAGAAAAAAGGTTGAAAAAATAGAAAACAAAAAGGTAAAAAAGCAAAGCCCCCAAAAAATCAAAAATCAAGGCTCGCCTTGCTGCAGTTTCACTGCTCAGATGTCACGTAATTTTAGAGGATACCAGAAAGACAATAATTAAAAAGCAGTACAGAAAATCCAATTTCAGGCTTGCTGTTTGATTCTGGTATGCTCTTCCTCACTTTTATAGACAGACATAAATGCCATTTATTCTGATGCCCTCAGGACCCAAATGGGCCCGGCAGAGTCCCCTTCCAACTTCTTCAGGGGCAGAGCAGATAGCAGCACATCTACAGACCAACATAAACACAGAGCGAGCTGGATTAGCAGACTCCTATTCTATAGGCTCTACAGCAGCATTCCTGCGTAAGAAAACACAAATTTATCCCGGCGGTGAAGCTACATGCAGGAGCTGCAACTTTCCCATTAGCACAACATCCTGTAAAACGCATCTGAGAGAAAGATCTCACCAACACTGTTTCCACTTCAAACTGGGTAAGCAGCCCCATTGTATAAAAATATTAATGTCAAGACAGAGTAAGGTGTGATGTATTGAAGCCTTACCTTGGCTGACTTGCCCTAACTGGTGGAAAGGAACTTAATTTATGAGAAGCAGAGAGGGACTTTCTCAGCGCTCTGGGCACGGCAGCTCGCGGTCCTAGGAGAGCCCAGTCTCTGCTCCGCGCACCTCCAGCTCCGGGCTCCCAGGCTGGGTCTCTGCAGCTCTTGAGCGCGCCTCTGATTGGCTGGCAGCGCCTGTCTGCCTGGTGCTGGGCTCTCTCTCGTCCTTCCTCTCCTCTCTGACTCTCCTCGCTACTCCCTTCCCCTTCTGCCTCCTTCTCCCCGCACCCCAGGGTACATACTTTTGGGGCTGCACAAATCCTATAGTACTCTGAACGGATATCCTTTCGCCCCATCGACAAGGTCACACAGAAAACAAAGCGGTTAATAAGAATGATTTCAGCACACACACAAAAACAAAAATCCTGTGATCTTGAAAAATGACAGCCAGGACTCGGTGACAGTTAAGACCAGCAGGTCTCTGCGGGGGATGGGAAGAGTGGGGGCCCAAGAAGGGGTTTGCCTGTCAGATGGAGTGGGAGTAAACATCAGAAAGGACGGAGCAAAACGAGGCAGGACAGTCGCTGAGGTAGCAAGCTGGTAGTAAATTTTCATAATTCCGTGCAAAGTCGTCACAGCCTGCTAAACATTCAACTGCTGGTTCATTCATCAGCGATGGCAACCAGAGGTAGTCAAGAGATTTAGCTTGAGATTTAGCCCTTTCGTGCCTTACCCCAAAGTGCTCAAAGCGCGCAGGGTTCATATTAGATGGAGCTGCCCCTCGGAGGTCAGCATTAGATTGGAGAAGATGAATAGGACCGCAATGCCTTCCCAATGTCTTTAGCTAGAGCCAGGAAAACTAAGAGAAGCGTGAACTTCTCACCCTTATGACTCCGGAATAAATTACAACGTTTTATATCGTATATAGCTTATGATAACAGGGATTTCAGGTCTGATTGGCTGTTTTTAAAATTGTTGTGAACAGCTGAGGCAGCTTCAGTACTTTCTCCCAGCACGAAGTCACCCACACTCACCCTTCAAGAACATGCTGCATCCCATTTAAATCAGTGTAGTAAACAAGTGTAGGTGTTTATCTAAATTGAATGGTTATTCCAAGGGTCCCCTGGCAGGGATATTAAGAATTATACACGATTCTCAGTCACGGCGAACACCAAGAAAATATCATTACTTTTAATGCACATTTTCGAAAACTATCAAAGCTCAGGCTGAGAGTTTTAGAAGCTCAAAACCACTCAGGCTTAAAAGTACTGTTTAAAGGATGTGGATTGTTAAAGTTCAGAGACATGGGTTCAAATCCTCTTTGGGATTTTCTTTCTGATTTAAACATGGATAGATGCTCACTTCTTTTTGAGGAACTGTGCTTTATAATCTAGAAAATAATCCTTACTCCAGTTTTCCTGTGTGTGTTGTGAAGTTTAATAAAAAAAAATCTGTGTAGTATTACTAAATCACAGTAAACTTTTGACAAAGGTTACCTCACTTGTTACTATATCTCTTTTTCTCTTTCACTGCTTTGAGAAAGGTCAATTGAGTAGATAAGGTTAAGTGGTATTTCTTTTAAAGTGTCGAAGAGGAAATGTTTTGAATCAACTAAGTTACATTTAACCATCTTTATTTCACTACACTATGTGAAATTTGGAGTCATTTAATCTGATTTGGGGTTTTGGCATGACTGAACAACAAACAATAAACACTTGAATTGTATTATTTTTTTCTGTGAAAGGACTGCACATTTAAGTACTTAGTTGGTCTTAAGGAAGATATTAGAAGCCAGTTAGAATTTGGAGATCTCCACAATTTAAAAAAAGAGAA